CGGGGCTGGCTCCTGCAGGAGCAGCTTCAGGTAGCACTCCATCAGGCCATCATTGAGGGCCAGTCGAAGCCATGCCCGGCAGCGGCCCACATCCGTGTTGACAAAGGTCAGGTGTTCCAATTCCGAGATGACGTGTCTGGGAAGGGCAGAAGAGACATACTTCAAGAAACCACTACAGGGACCAGCAGATTGCGTAATGTTTACATTGCTGGACCCCCATGTGGTTGACTGCAGTTCAAGTCCTGGACCCAACAGCTTAAAATGCATGCTGGGCACATGTGTGTGCATACCCAAAATACTGAGAGGAGAAACAGAGAAGGGGTTGCAGTGTAGTCATACCCTCTGGGGATGACTTCTTACTTTCTCTCTCTCTGTCTCTCCAGCAAGCACACATGCCCTATAGCAGAAATCTCTCCTAAAAAAAAAAAAAAAAAAAAAAAACAAGAAAAGGAGCAGCAGCAGAAGAAGAAAATCCACTTCAGCCACTGAGGTGTTGTTTTATCCACTGCTTAGCCAGAACCAATAATAATTACTGCAAATATATATAGGCAAGAAAAACTCTCTCTCTTTTTTTTTTTTCATCCAAGGGGGGTATATAGGAGCATTAAGCTATAACTACCAATTCTCTGAGGTGGGTGTCATGAAGGATAACTGCACCCCTGACATCATCATCTCATGACGTGCCCGCTGAGTCCCTACGTGAAAGATCTTTGAAGCTGTGAAGGTATGGGGTAAAGTCCTGCCTTCAGGGGAACACGAAGCAAGTGCTCTTGGGAGAACTGGTGTGTAGGGATGGAGTCAGAAACCCGACCAAGAGCAGTACTTGAAATAGGCCCTGAGGAATTTCAAGAGGCACAGATGAAAGGAGATTGACAAAGACATAAAAAAAGGTGCAAAGGGAAGGAAAGCAGCAGACCTCTAACAGGAGTGAGGAGCTCTTCAGTGACAGCACTGGAGGAAGGGGGGGTGATTAAGTTGCAAAGCCAGGTAAAGAAGGGCCCTTAATATCAAACTAATAAGACAATGTAGGACAATGGTTTCTGCACCTGGCTGTGATTCAGAACCCCCTGGAGAACTTGGTCAGAACACAGATTCTGGGGTCCCCACCTAGTGAACCGGACTACAGGCTCCCACTTGGGAGCCTATCAGCTACAGGTTTAGCACTAGAGAGTGACTTGACCACAGCTGTGAGCACTGTAGGTGAAGTGCTCTAGGGAAGATCAGACCCTAGGCATACCAAACTGGGTTCCTCGGTCTGATGCGAGGCCCCTCCTATGCACTGCCACAGTCCTCTGGTCATGTCTCCCACATGGGAGTGCAGATCACACTCTACTGGACTCAGTGCTTGAGCTCCAGGTAGGCCAAGTTCAGCAAATGGGGACTTGCTGACTGAGCTAAGCGAAGACAGAGTGAGATAAGTGGGACAATTAGAAAGCTGCTGACACCCAGGAGAAGGGTAAGAACCTAAGATACCACAAGGGCAATCGGCATGAAAGGAAGGTTAGAGACTGACAAGGCACCTTTGGGCTGAGGATAGCACTTAATAGCCCTTAGAGGTGCAGTGCCAGCTATGTGCTCAAAAGCCCAGGCAGTCAGGGGTAAGGCCAAACAGCTGACTGTCTCAGGTGAATATTCAGATGCTCTACCTGGATTCCACTCTTAACAAAACCTCATACCTCATTATGAGTATAACATTTAGAGCACAGATGCTCATATATTCTAAGGTAGAGTCAGCAAACTTTCTGTATTGGGCCAGACAGTAAATATTTTAGGCTGTACAAACCACAACAACCTCTGTTGCAACTACTTCATTCTGCCAGGAATGGCGAAAAGGCTACTCCTGCTAAAGGGGACCAGCCCAAGGGCTCAAAGCAGTCACAGGCTTGCCTCAGGGTTGACGCTCTTAAGGTTCCCTGCACACTGGCTGGGAAGCTTGGTCTAGAGAGAGCCTTTCTGTGAGATACTCTCCCTACCTCCCCTGTCGCTGCACCAGGACATGAGGTATCTGCTGGCTTCCGACACAGCTCAAGAGAAGCGCCCAACATCCCACACGCCACAGTTCCTCCCCAGAGTAAACATTCTCCAGCTGATCTCACTTGTGGGTGACAGACTTCAGGAGGGGCCAGAAGACAGGCTGAGGCAGAGGCTTCTGGTGAGCACTTTTCTTCCTCTTCCCTCCAGCCTCGGCTCGGATGTGCTTCGCATGCAGGCCGTGGATGAACATGGCCTCCAGGGCACTGCACATGGTGTTGGCATCTCCGTCTTTGCTAGTGACTACTGTGTCCAGGGACACATACTGCTTCTGTAGTGCCTTTACAGATGCCACCAGCTTCTTCTTGATGACCTGGGCAGCAACAAACAGAACACAGACCTTTACAGGAAAATTCTAGGGAGGGCCCCTGGAATGTACCTCTTAGCTTCTTGCCAAATACACATACAACCGCATAGGAACAAAACTTTCTGTCTGTAGATTCCTTCTGCAAAATTAACATATCTTAATTATAGCAAAGATAGAGCATGGAGAAGAAAAAGAAAGTCATATACATGCAGGGCCCAGAGATAACTACTATACTGATGTCTGGCATATCCTTCATTGTGGGTCCTTTTTCTGCCTAAACTTATCTTCAGTGACATAGCCATATAATCGTGAGTTTTACTTTTTTAACTGCAAGAGGGCATACGCACTCACCAAAAAGAGAGAGAAAATCCCTCAAAGGATGTGATCACATTGCAATCCATTTTCCTCCATATCTCCCTCCTGTCCCTGTTAGAAGCTTTGCCTAGTTAATTATCTGGACTGCAAGTGACAACAGTGCTATCAAGAGACCACATGTCCCAAAACTCCAAATCTGGCAGTTTTAGAAAGTCTTGTCATAAAGTCCGTTTGCACTTCGTATTAATTAGCACATAAGTTAGCCAAATGGACTTTGGTTAGAAAACTGCATAACTGAATTTTCAAATCAGCAATCTATACTCTACCTGGCTCCAAAGGAAAAAGAAAATGTTTTAAGAATAAAGGAAGTGGGGCCGGCAGGTGACACGGTGGTTAAGGGCGCTGGACTCCTACATGGCCAGTCGTGGTTTGAATCCCAGACCTGGTGGCTTGCTTTATCACTTCCCTCTTTCTCTCTCTTTTGCTCTCACTCTGTCCCTTTCTGGTCAAATTAAAACAAAGAAATATTAGGCATACATGTTTTTCAAGCTGCTTGGGATGAGATTTGAACCATGGTTGGCCATGTGGGATTCAGCTACAATGTGAACCACTGAGCTACAGGCCAGTCCCTAATCTCAGGCTTAAATCTTAGCCGGGCATATACTTGCCCATGATCCAGGCTGGCTACAGGCTAGAGGTGGACTACTGTATCAGGACCCTGTTGGGGTCCATCTATCTCTCTTCCTCTCTAGCTCACGGAAGAAACAGACAAGCTACATGTGCAAGAGGCAAAAGGTGCTGCTTTAGAACAATAAAAGCATCAAGAAATCCAGAGGCTCAGATTCAGTCTCAGCTCTGTCAGTGAGTCAGTGACTTCCTGGGTCACCTCAGACATTTCACTTAACCTCTCTGAGCCTCGGTGTCCTCATATGGTAAATGGAAATAATATCTCCTGAGCTACAGCACTGTGGGGAGTGCTCCTTGAGGGAAGGACTTGTTCTTTGTTCATTTTTGTGTCCTCAACATTTGGTGCTGCGCATGACACTAGTACTCAATAAACGCTTGCTAAATGAATACATTACAAAATGCACAAAAAGTCTTTAGCAAATACTGAGTAAAAACTGCTTAATCATAATTATGTCAAAATTACCTATGTGTTTGAAAAAAGACAGAAAGAATTTGTGAAAAAGGTAGTTTTAATTGTTGAGTGATAAAATTATGGAAAAATATTTTTTTTTCTTTTGATTTTAGCCCACACAGTAAATGTTAATATTCATTGAAAAGTTAAATTAATAAATAAAGTAACAGCTCCAGCTATGTGGCAATGTTGTATGGGATTGTGTAAAGGCCACGTGAGAGGGTCAGGTTCTATTCCTGACTCATCCTAAAGGCCGGGTGCAGTGCCATGTGCCTGTAGTCCCAGCTACTGACGAGGCTGAGGCAGGAAGCCTGGAACACAGTGAGACCCTGTCTGAACTTCTACACACACACACACTAACTGCCCCCCCCCACAAAAAAAAGAGTATGAACATTCCACTCAATTGAGCACCTACCAGGAGTTGGGCTACGGGACACGGGGATGAATGAGGCATACCCTGAAGAAACTCAGGCCCTCAAGAAGCCAGTGCATGCAGCCCTTGTTAGAAGGCTGAGCTGCTGAGCTGCCCCAGGACTCTGCTCCAGCTCAGGAGGGCCCTGGAATGGCATGAGGACGGCAGCCCTGGAGAAAGGCCCCTGTAGGAAAGCAGGCTGGAATACATGTCAAGGTGGACCCCTGCTGGCCTGGGGCTGCAGAAAATTCTTGGAATTGGGGAGAAGCAGTGGGGATGAAAGGGAAATGCTGGCTTCTCCCCAAAGATCACCTCTGGATTCCACTGGGGAAATAGCCCCAAAGCTCCTTGACCTCTTGCCTGTCTAACAGAACTGGCAGGGCTTGGTCCAGAGTGCCCAAGATAGCCCAGGGCCCAGCAGGGTGCAAAGAGATCCCCAACACAGTGGGTGCAAGGGGCTCTGGTGAACTGGTCTCACACAATTATGCTTACTTGGCCTGGAAAATGGTTAAAAGGTCAAAGAAATACATACGCTGCCAACTTACTCCCACTACTGAAACAACAGCCAGTGCCTGGGTATATCTGTCTGCGAGCAACTCAATGCATTGGCCAAACTGTGCCAAATCAGGGCGGAAGGTCTGAAAGGAAATGCTTGGTGTCTAGGTAACCTGTCTCAAATCCCCACTGTTTGGGGTCAATTCCCATTTTATCACCAATAAATGATCTACATAGGGTGGCAGTCTTCTCAAAGCCCATTTCTGCTATAGCTCTTTCTCAGCCTGAGGCCTCCCTTTCCATCACTGGCCACTTCTTTCAAAGTGAGAAGACTTCCCACCTTTGATCCTCCCTTGCCCACCTACCGGGATGGCAGCCCGGGGGTCCAGTCCATTCTCCACCACTGAGAGCATTTCCACTCATGCAGCCGCTCCCCAGGAGAATCACATGACACCTGCAGAGCTGGCAGCAGTCAGATGAAGAAGCTCCCGGCTCACCCTCCGACCGGAGTCCTCTCAGTGGCGACAGCAGAGGTCAGCCCAGCTTACTCAAACTGCAACAGAAAGTCCTTGAGTGCACACTGAGAGTGGATTTTAAGGAAGAAACCAAGAAAGGAGAAAAAGCCAGAGGGCTCTTTCCTTGAGCAATGAGGAGCCCCATGTGCCATGGGTGGCTGGCCCATGGACTGTTAGGACAGTTCTATACTCCACCCCAGAAGCAGCACAGGAAACCGGGGGCCTGTGGATAAAGAGTTGTGCGGAGGCTGAGTGAGATACAGAGCTGAGGGTGCGAGGAGGCTGCTGCAGCTGAAGGGGCCAAGAAGCTGCAGGGCCCAGGAGGTAAAAGCTCACAATTCCCATTCAGGTCCCACCTAGCCTGACTCCCGTCCCAAGTCTGCCAGCCCAGCATGAGGAGTACGACTGTAGCAGCTTCACGAGCGGAGGGCTCTCCTGCCAACTCCTGCTTCTCCTTCAGGCTGCAAGGGTCTAGCCTGAACAGCACAGGGACATATCTGAACGGGACCACTGAGGGTTTAATCATAGTTTGCCATTAACCAGCTAGGCATGCTAGGGAGCAGCATCAGACCCACGGGGAGAATATGTAAAGAGCCTCGCCAGGACCTGGTATGCTCCAGGCATTGACGGTGTGTGTAATCCCAGGGGATGTGGACATCCCTTTCTACAGAAAGGGAGCACCAGGGCCTGAATGAGTATGTGAAAAAAGCTGAAGTCAGAACCTTGTTAAATCCCTCAGGGCAGCTGACTTCCTCGTGGGGGTGGGTGGAGTCCCGGGGGGGCAGTTTGAGCCCCAGCAACTTGGACTGAGCTGGGCTCAGCTGGACAGCACATCCACATCCTGGCAACACTTGGGAAGACCCTGCTGAGCATCAGGGGAACACTAAGACAGTTAGGGCTGTCTCTGCTGTCTTATAGCCGTGCCCCAAAGAAGTTAAACCAGGGACCCTTAAATGAGTCTGTTCTCTTTACATGAGCTGCCTCACTTATATCTCTCCCAGCCACTCTAGGAGTGCTGTTTCATAGCCTTCACCTGACAGATAAGGAAATGGAAGCCGACCCAGGTCAGGGAACTTCTGAAGATGCCATTTCTGATAAGTGGCCTTAGCTAACTCCACCACAGGCCCCAGGGTGATGCCAACTTCAATTCCAAGGAAACTCCAGACTCCTGAATGAATACCCTCACTTCAGAGGTAAGACCAGCAAGGGGAGCTGGGACTCCAGGAGAACATCAGGCCAGCCAGGCAGAAAAGGTTTATAGGTCAGTGGCGGCACGTGAGGTCTGGAGAGGAGGAAGGCAGGGAGGCCTGAAATGGTGGAAGATGCCCGGGTTCGACCTCTGGCCTCTGGGGTTGCAGAGGGTACATAGGACCCAAGGAGTCAGGACCCAGAGCTGACTTCCCTAAGTAAAGCCTCAGGGACAGACCAGCGTGGTAGAGGGTGGAACCTGCAGCTCTGGTCTGGGCACCACAGCAAGCCAGGAAGGGCTCTGCCCAGGCTGCAGCCCCTGGCTGACTACCTTGCCTGCACTATTCTCTGCACCCACTCCTGGGGTTCTCAGGGCCCTCCACTAGTAACCAGTCCCACACTCTGGCCCCCAGGATGACAGGGAAGGGTGTGTGCTGCAGTCGGAGTCACTCCTAGAGAGTCCTGGAGGCTGGGTTTTCCAGTGTCACCCTTGTGCAGCCCAGAAGGCAAGTCCAGCTTCTCTGGCTCCAAGATCCTGCACTCAAATTCAATCCAGCGGCCTAAGGCCTCACCCTCAAGCTTGTCTTCTAGATAGAGCCCTCAAGCTCCAGACCCACCCTTCCCTCAGCCAGCTAGAAGGCCAGGACCTTGAGGACTTAGACCCCCAAGAATCTGAATAGCCTGAGCCCATTAAGGTCTCATTAACTAATTAGCTGAGAATAACAGAATAATAGTATTTACATGTGGGGGTATCAATAAATGGGTGCTCT